TCCCAAGAGGAAGCTTGGGTAGTAGCTTTTAAATCTCTGTGGAATCAACCACTTCCTTCCAACTCCTATCTTTGCTCCCTCAGTCCAGGAAACAGCATGGCTCATCTGCACCCCTCAGCAGCCTCCCAGCTTTCCTCATTCCTCCCTCCAACCTGTCCTCCCCAGAGCAGCCAGGGACATAGGTTCAATGTGCAGGTCTGCAGGGGTCACTCTGCTGTATGTGGCTTTGACCTTGCATCCCTTCTAGTCCTCTCTGGTCCCATCCTCACTGACCTGTAGCCCCCACACCTTATCAGTCCCTTGTAGTCACTCCAGGTCCTCCCATGTCTACACCTCTGCCCATGCTGTTCCCTCCTAGAGCACTCTTCTCTCATGCCTGTGGCACCAAATTAATGCCAACTCATCCTTCAGCTCTCAAGTGTCTCTTCCTCAAGGATGCTTCTCTTGGCCTTTAGACATGGTCAGGTTCCTTAGTTGTTTTCAGTTTAGGGGTGTGTGTGCCCTTGATCACCAGCTGGCTATCCCAGTAGACAATGAAAGAGCTCTTGAGGACAGAGACAGTCTATCTTGATCATCCTTATATCCCAAGTGCCCACCACAGGACCTGACAACGCATAGGTACTAAACACATTTTTGTGGACTAGATGAATGCGTGGGTCCATAGATAGCTATATAAATGGATGGGTAGTGGGGTGGTTAACAGAAGAGTAGATGAATGAATGGATGAGTGAGGAAATGAGTAGGTGGATGGATGAGTGAGTGGGTGGATGATGGACAGATGGATAGGAGGAAGGGTGGGTGGGTTGGTATTGGGGTGAATGAGTGGGTGGATGGATGAGTGGAAGAGTGAGTAGATGTCATGGTAGATGGGTGGGGAGTGGGTAGAGGGATGGGTGGATTGACAGGTATATGGGAGCATCTGTCCTTGGGTGGCCTGATGCAGCAGCTAACAGCACAGCCTTGGGATTCAGGAGGCCTGAGTTTGAGTCTCCCATCTGCCATGGGTTACTACGTTACCTTGGATAAGCCACCACCCTTCTCATATACTGGGTTACTAAGAAAACGAACTAAGTGAGAAAAGTCGGGAGCTCAGGCAGTAGACCTAGTTCAAACCCCAGCTCCACCATTTGCTGGTTCTGCAACCCTGAACAAGTGAGCTCTGCTCTTGCAACCTCACTTCCTTCATCACCCACATGGATATGGAAGTCCTCACCTTGAAGGGCTGTTCTCAGGATTTGATGAGATTTTGTGCCCGATACATGGGAGATGTTTAGTAAGTGTCAGCTCCCTTTCATCTCCATTTTCCTTTGGCTGTTTCCCTCACCCTCCCTCCACCCTTCTCAAACACTGTCTTCTCTTCTTGTATCTCTGCCTACTTCCACATGCCCCTCCCCCCACACACACCATCCCGGAGGCAGCACTGATGCTGCATAGGCCAATCCTAGGCTTAGAAGGAGGGCTCTCGGGGGCACACACATTGGTGCCCTGCAGAGTAATGCAGTTAACACACTTGAAACTGTAAACCGCAGGGTCTGTATGTGTGACTTGTAGAGGGTTATTATGAATTGAATTGTGCTCTGAAAAAGATAGGTTCAAGTCCTAACCCCTGTACCTGTGAATGTGATCCTGTTTGGAAACAGAAGGTTTTCTTTTCCTTTGCTAATGGGGAAATAGCAGAGTGGGCTGGATCCTAGTCCTAATTCCCTCTGAATGGTGTCTCATAAGAAGGGAATGACACATAGGCAGAGCATAGATGCCACGGACGACGAAGGCAGGTGCATCTATAAGCAGCAAAGGAATGCCGAGGAGAGAGGCCCACAGGAGGAGTCCACACGGCCGAGATCCCCATTCAAACATTTAGCCTCCAGAACCGTGAGATAAAACACTTCTACACTTTAGCCACTCACTTGTAGTGTTTGTGTATGGCAGCCCTAGAAATCTAAGATAAGGGTTTCATAAGCTGTCAAGACAAGATTGAAGGGACAGTATGACTGCATTTAAGTAGAAAGGAGAACTGCAGTAGGAACAGAAAGACAGGCAGCGAGACAGAGGGAGGCCTGGCCCTGAGGAGGAAGAAGAGCAGCCGGTTTGAATTTTTCTCCTGTTTACAAGCTTTCCAATGACAAAATGAAATCTGGCGTGCTCTGCCCGGCCTGGCCGCCCACAGCCCAGGGAGAGTGAGGCACTGAGCCCGAGCGAAGGGCATCGTCCCAAGAGTGGTACCCTCTTGTGGTAGCCCTCGGGTGGTACAAATGGTTAATACACTTGGCTGCTAACTGCAAGGCCAGAGGTTCGAGTCCACCCAGAGGAAAAGCTTGGCAATCCACTTCCAAATAGCAGCCACTGACAATTCCAGGGAGCACGGTTCCAGTCCAACACACACGGGGGCGCCGTGAGTGGGACTGGATGCGACAGCACCGGGTTTTGGAAGTCAGGAAGCCCAAGCCACCGGTCTGTCTTGGAGCTGGAACAAGTCTCAAGCCACCTTGTGCCTCAGCCATCCCATCTGCAGGCCTGGGGAGAGGCTGACAGGGGCCCTAAGCAAGGAAGGAGGGTCTGTCCCTCTCGCTCTCAAGCCTCAGCCTGCGGTCAAGTCAGAGCTGCCTCCTCCTCCTCAACGTCGAGACCCAATAAGGGAAGAAGGAACAGTTTGTCTCCCAATGAAATGCAATTCCAAATAGGCCATGGCCCCGGGGCCCTGCCCAGCACTTGTGCAAACATTACATCTGGTCCTTGTGTCTTGTTGGAGACTTGGCTTAACAGCGAAGGCACTTGGAACAGAACAGTGTGAACACCCTGAGCCTCCTTCCAGTCTTCGCCCACTGCCTTCCCTGGAGGGATGGGGGCACGGTGGGGACGTGCTAATGGGGGTGCAGGGAGCCAAGTGCATTTTCTTTGCCATGTTGGGTCATTTTTCAAATTTCTTCGCAAAGCTGATTAAATAAATAATTAATGATTATGGTTACAACCTTAAACCTCTCCAGTTCCTTTCTGACTCTGTAGCCCCTCCTTTGAGCCAGCTGGGCACCCTAGGACAAGTAACTTAACCTCTCTGAGCCTTAGTTTTCATATATATAAAAGAGAAGCAGACCCCCCTGGTGACGCAAACGATCAAGTGCTCGACTACTAGCTGAAAGGGTGGCAGTGTGAAGCTACCCAGAGGCATCTTGGGAAACAGGCCTGGGGACCAGCTTCTGAAAGGCTACAACCTTTCCATCGTCCTATGCACACCTGGTGTCACGGGCCGCATGGGGTCATCATGAGTCAGGATTAGCTCTATGGCAACCAAAAACAACAAAGTAACTGTACCTAACTCAGGGCTGCTGTGGAGAATAAATGATACATTCCAAGTGCTTGGTACAGAAAGTGCTAGAGTATGTGTGGGTGATCATTACAGTCTAGAATATTCTCAATGAATGGGAAGAAGGGAGTCAGACACCGGAGTCAGACAGAGCTGGATTCTGATCTTAACTGTCAATGACTGGCTGTGGGACCTTGGTGGAGTCCTCTTAGCCTCAGTTTCCTCATTTGTAAATAAGACGGTGATACACTTAATCTCAGGAGATTGCATGAGGAAAGGCATGGCCCATGTATGTTCAGTACGTGGCACCCACACACACACACACACTCCCTCAGGAGTGCAGTTCAAGGACTCAGCTCCAGACCTGGCGTTGAGTTCAGCAACCGAGGCCTTGGACAGTCTTCCAGGGAGCAGCCACCAGGTGCTGCCTTGAGCCACACTTTGGATTGGTCTCCAGTGAGGCTCTGAGGAAGTTGAGGAGTTCCTCCACCATCATCCACTTTAAATATTTCATTCTGAGCGGCTCCAACTGGAGCCCAGTGGATCAGAGACGGGGGTAGGAATCGCTGTGAGCAGGGGGTTTGCTGGGGAAAGTACCAGCCATGACCCTGCCCCTGGGCAGCAAGGACAAGCTGAGAGAAATGCTGAGGCACAGGGCTGGCACCATCCCTCTTCTAAAATGGCTACAGCTGAAAACACTGTCTCCCTGGGAAGTTCTGGGGTAGGCTGTTTCAGAGCATGGCCTTTGAATGGTCCCAAGTCTTCATTTTCTAAGGGTCCTCTACCTGTCTCAGCCTCACAGAGAGCCCACAGGGCCCCATTCCCTCAGGACCTGCCCTCTGTCTTCCTAGCTCATCCCTGGTGCTGTGTGTTCCTGGGCTGATCCGTCACCATATTCTCCCAGGTAACCTGTGTGACTCCACAGAGACCTTCTAAAAACCATGCCTTAATGCAGGGGGATAGCTTGAGTGGTGGGATTTTCTTGACTGGCTATTAATACAGGTGTATGGGTGTGATGGAGTCCCTTGGTGGTGCCAACGGTTAACACACTTGGCTTCCAACCAAAAGGTTGGCCATTCAAGTCCACCCAGAGGCTCCTTGGAAGAAGAAGTGCCTTGTGATCTACTGCTGGACAGCCAGCCAGTGACAGCCCTGTGGAGCACAGTTCTACTTATACACATGGGGTCGCATGAGTCAAAATCGACTGGATGTCAACTGGTTTTTGTTTTGTTTTGTTTTATGGGGCTGGGAGATCTCTATCACCCTGTGTTTTCCCTAAACCCCTTTGTTAACACCAATCATAAACACAAAACCAAACTCACTGCCATCCAGTTGATCCCGACTCATAGAGACACCCCCCCTTGGGTTTCTGAGGCTATAGCTCTGTGGAAGTAGATTGCCCCATCTTCCTTCCAAGGAGTGGCTTGTGGGTTTGAACCTACAGCCTTCTGGTTAGCAGTCAAATGCCTTAAGTACTATGCCACCACCAAGCATGGGCCTCGTAAGCCATTGTGTCATCCCTGTGGAGCACACACTAGGTACCTTAAGCCACTGTCCTACACCAATCCCAGTTCATGGTCATGTTTGTGAGAATTCTTCTGTTTTTCTTTGGCTTGGTCAAACCTTGGCTCTCCAAGAAGCATGGATCACTGGTCCAAGGCTGGGAGCAAGAGGGCATGCTCTGCCCATTATCCCACTTGGAGAAGGGGTATCCAAGCTCTGGGTTTCCAGCTTAAAACACTGTCCATGCCCATTCAAAATACAGCGGGCCCTGGTGGGTGCTGAGGCGGTTCCTGCCTTGGTCTTCAGAAGGCCTACTTTTGAGTTTCTTGGGTTGGCAGTGTCCATTGAGGGTTTCCTAGGTGAGGCTCAAAGCATACTGGTCTCCCGCTCATGCACGGAGTTCCTCTCATTCATCGATGACATCCTGGTAAAGCTCCTGTGGCTGGGGTAGGAGGAGTGGCCTGTATCTTCACTCAGAGCATTGACCAGGCGAGAGAAGAGGGCCACCTTGAACTTCTTGAAGTCCTGGCCCATGAAGACGTACAGAATGGGGTTCATGCAGCTGTTGGCGATGGCGATGGCAGTGGCCAGGGGCAAACCCAGGCTGAAGATGGAGCCAGGCATGGCAGTGTGGTGGAGCTCCAGGAGATAGAGCGTGTGGTAGGGGCACCAGCAGAGGAAGAAGGTAACGATGATGGTGATGATGATCTTGAAGGGCTTCTTGGTCTTGGCCAGGCGATTGCGCCGCAGCTTGCAGACAATGGTGAGGTAACAGGCTGTGATGATGAGGACGGGGACCAAGAAGCCACAGAGGAAGCGGGTGACGGTCACTACCATGTGCCGAGTGTACCCCACAGTGTCCAGCTGGGCTTGAGCAGACTGTGGGGAAGAGCGGGCCACCGACAGGCTAAAATTGTTGAAGCAAGATATTTTCCCATGCTGGTTGGCTGTGTCCCGGAAGACGAGGGATGGGGAACTCAAGAAGAAAGCTAAGACCCAGATGACCATGCATGCCATGTAGGCTAGCCTGACACCACGGTGGTTCTGAGACCAGACAGGGAGGAGCACGGAGACACAGCGGTCAAAGCTGATGACGGTCAGCAGGAAGACGCTGGTGTACATGTTGTGAATAAGCAGGAAGTTGCTGATCTTACACATGGCAGTGCCAAAAACCCAGTGGTAGTCCATGGCGGCGTAGGCAATGTGGAGTGGCAGGAAGACATTGAACAGGAAGTCTGCCACAGCCAAGTTGAGGAACCAGACAGTGTTCACGGTCTTCTTCATCTTGAAGGTGGCAATGACGATGACCAGGCCATTGCCCAGGATCCCGAGGAAGCAGACAATGCTGTACACTACGACCAGGAAGATCCTGGCCACCCTAGCTTCCAGGAGGGGAGATACCTCCTCTAAGACCACGATGGAGTCAAAATCATCAGGGTACTCGGAGTCATAGATGATGGAGGTGTTGTAATCCTCGTCCGCCATTTTCTACAAAGGAAGACAGGGGTCATTAGGGGAATCATGTCTCTGATACTCCAGACCCCAAGCACTTCCACCACCCCAAGCTCCCCTCCAGTCTGGCAAAATGGCTCCAAACCAGATCTTTCTGCTTGGTGATGCTGCCAATTGATGCTTCATGTTAAATAACTCCAGCTTTCCAACTCATAAATTCATTGTGGTGGTTGGGTGCCGCTGAGTCGATTCTGACTTATAGCGACCCCATTTGACAGAGTAGAACTGCCTCATAAGGTTTTCTCGGCTGTAATCTTTATGGGAGCAGATCACCAGGTCTTCCTCCCCTGGAGCAACTGGGTGGGTTCAAAATGTCAACCTTTCCATTTGCAGCTGAGCGCTCAGCCGTTGTGCCATAAATTCGTTACTGGATCTTAATGGGTTTGAGGTTACATTTTATTGCATAAAAGTCATCTTCTATTTTTATTAAATCAAAGCCATTTGGAAGTTTCCATTCAGTTCAAAAAAAACAAAAGCCAAACTCACTGTCATTGAGTCGGTTCTGACTCATAGGGACCCTCACTGGGTTTCTGAGGCAGTAAATCTTTATGGAAGTAGATTGCCCAGTCTTCCTTCCATGGAGTGGCTGGTGGGTTTGAGCCACCAACCTTCTGGTTAGCAGTCAAATGCCTTACATACTGTGCCACCAGAGCTCCTTCAGAGTTGAAGGGGCTCAAAATTTAAGTATTGTCCCACTCTTTAAACTGGGAGGATTTTCTAGAAGTGCCCAATGAGGGGTCCTGGAAGATTTCTTGTGGTACCAGAATGCAGATAGAAGATGGGAACACTAATTGAAAGACATGTGACTGGTGTTAATGACAAGAATGGGTGGCCTGCATAAAGCAATTGTGTCTGCCAGGGGCCAGGCTCAGCACTTGGAATCGATTAGCCTCCTTTAACCTCGGGAAGTGGGGATGAGGAGAGCTCAAGGAGATGAAGACTCCTGCCCAAGGCAGCCAGGCAGGGGTAGGAGAGGCAGGATTTGAACACAGCTCCGCAGAGCCTGGGCTCTTGACCATCGCCCTGCACTGGCTTGAGATCATCACCTGCCCCAGGGCGATCTCCACAGCCAGGTGCAGCCTGTGCGGAAGAAGCGACCTGTCCACATTCTCGGTGCCAGGCAGCACAGTCACTAGGTCCCATCCCCAGGCACCTCACAGTCAATTACAAGGCTGGGGCCAGAGCCCAGAACCAAAACGAGATGCTGTCAAGCTGACTTCCATTCCTGGAGCCCCTGTGAGTGTTACTGTAGAACTGTGGCCTACAGGGTTTTCAAGGCTGGTTTTTTGGATGAAGATTCCCAGGCCTTTCTTCCAAGGTGCCTTTGGGTGAATTCAAACCAGCAACCTTTTGGTTAGCAGCCAAACACTTAACCATTTGCACCAATCAGAGACTCCCAGGATCCTAGAGGAGGTGCTAATTCCCAGCCTGGGAGTCCAAGAAGGCTTCCTCAGGTAGGCGGTACCTGGGCTGAGTCCTAAGGGAGGAGTATGAGTTAAAAAGGTGAATGAAGGAGAGACAGGAAGGCACACCAGGCTGGCGGGGGGCCGGTGTCTGAGCCCCAAGAGGAGGGTGAGGAGGAATGGGGTCTAGGGGCCCAACACTTGGCACAAACATCTGCAGAGATGCACTGGACCCAGATAACGTCACGTCTGGCTCTCTGGCTGGGCTGAGCACCTCAGGCTCAGAGGTCATGTCTTTTCGTCTTTGAGCTAAATGGGACATGCTGACATTCTCTGTCCATCCACCGCTCCTCATCCCACTGGACATGGTGCCAGTCAGTGTGCCCCGTTAGTGCATCCAGTGAAGAGGTGGCCCTGCTCCCCCACCCAAGCTCCTCAGCACTCCCTGGAAGGGAAGAGGTTCCAGTCAAGGCTTGCTCTCTCTGGCCTCTGACATCTTAAAAAAAAAAAAAAAAAAAAAAAAACCTCACTGCCATCAAGTTGATTCCAAATCATAGCAACCTCCTTTGGGTTTCTAAGGAGGTATATCTTTATGGAGCTCTGGTAGCATAGTGGCTAAGACACTTGCCTGCTAACCAGATGGCTGGCGGTTCAAACCCACCAGCCACTCCTCGGAAGGAAGGTTGGGCAATCCTACTTCCGTAGTGATACTGCCTCGGAAACCCAAGGAGGGGTCGCTATGAGTCGGGGCCGACTCGACGGCACACAACAACAACAACAACATATCTTTATGGAAGTAGATCGCCCAGTCTTTCTTCCGAGGAGCGGCTGGTGGGTTTGAACTGCCAACCTTCTGGTTAGCACTCACATGCCTTAGGCACATGCCACCAGAGCTCCTTCTGACTTCCAAGGATCCTAAATAAAAAGTGTCTTAGGATCCCCCTGCTTCCCTGAAGGGCTGGCTGTCCCTGATCCACCCAGTCCAAGCCCTCTAACCCTTAGCCTTGAAACACTGTCTGCTCCTGGGCCATCCCCACGGTCAGTGGTAGATGGACCATTATGACCCAGAGGATTTTCATCAGTTGCTTTCAGAAGGAGATCACCAGGCCTTTCTTCCTGGTCTGTCTTAATCTGGAAGCTCTGCTGAAACCTGGCCAATGTCAAAGCAACACTTCAGCCTCCAGTGACAGAAGGGAGGTGGTCATCCATAAGGTCGTGCATTCAGGAACTGAACCCCGTCTCCCCCTCGAAGACAAGAATTCTATCACTGAACTGATGCTACTACTACTTACCTTTTTGAAAACTCATGCCTACAAAACAGCAAGGGAACTTTTGCAAGACAGACAAATACAATGATACACATCAAACAGATTAAGATGGTTCTGTGGGGGAAGGGCAGTGAGAGTAGGAAACAGGGCTAAAAGGAAATGAATACAATGAAGAAAGAAAATAAGATGAGCATGGGGGTTTCCAGAGACCAATGATGGAAATGAGCATGGACCAAGGAATATAATTATCTCAACTCTCCTCTTCTGAGGTCCAGAAACACCCCACACACACACAGCAAATCCCTACCTGGAGTTCATGCCTCGTGTCGCCCAGCCCAGTGACCTGACGAGATCACAGTACATAGGCTCAGGGCCAGACAAGCAGGCTGGCCTGCCCAGGGCCTTCAGGGCCACCCCCGCACCCCAGCCTTCTCAGTCAGGCTGGGGACGAACTTGGACCAGCCAGCGACTAAAGGTGTCAGCTCAGCTGGAGCAGGCCTGGTGCTTCCTTGGCCTGCCCAGCCCCTGCTGGGGACAGAATGGCCGCCAGGCAGAAGATGCTGCTTTAGACAGCTGTGCTCTGCCCACAACCCCGCCACATACCCTTGCTGGGGACAGAGTGGGGCTCAAGGTCACGTCTGGTTCCTGCAGCCACAGAGAACAAAAACTGCAGGCGGACGTCACTGGCTGAATTTTTATTAAACAGACACAGTTAAGCACTCGACTCCCAGCTGAGAAGTCGGTGGTTTGAACCCACCCAGAGGCGCCTTGGAAGACAGGCCTGGTCATCTGCTCCTGAAAGGTCACATCCTAGAAAACCCTAGAGAGAAGTTCTATGCTGCACACATGGGGTCGCCGTGAGTCGGGACCAACTTGGTGGTCACTAACAGCAGCAGCAACACGTTCCAGGCACTGTCCTAAACCCTGTTACAGAAGAGGAAACTGAGGCACCGAGAGGGTCAGCCATGTGCCCAGGGTGAGTGAGGCAAGTTCAGGAGCCCTTCTGGACAGAAGATGTTCAGATGGGGCAGATGCTTGGTCATTTGCCAAACCTATTCTCTTTCCTTGTCCACGGCCTTGCCTCCTCAGAACATTCTGGAATCCTTCTAGGAACCTCCCGAGAGCCCGTGAGACCAATCTGGCAGGGTTCAGAATGCGCACGTGACAGTGGGGCAAGAGGAGGTCCCAGATCCCCGAAATTTCCCCCACATCCATGGCCTCTACCTCAAAGTGAAACGGCCCAGATGGGAACACACTGGAATCCCAGTGAGGAGGGGGCCCCTTCACTCACCCGTCCCCCAGGGAAGTGTGAAGCCACCTGCTTCCAGCCAGCATGGATGTTGGGATGCAGCAGACCCTGGGCGCCAACCTTCCCACACAGGTCCCATGACCAGTCCCACCAAAGGATACCTGAGACTGGGGCAGAGGGTGCTTGTGCGTGGTCACACGCCTGGTCAGTGGCTGTGCAGAGATTTGAACACAGGTCCTAAGTCCAGATGGATCTAGGTCCCTGTCTCCTCGAGCTGCCCCCTGCTGGTTGGGCTCAAGCCCACACAGGGCTTGGGTTTAGTGGGGTTCCAGGAATCTGGGCAGCAAATGTCAGCCTCCGCTCCCCCTCTGAGTCACTGCCTGAGCCCTTTCTCGAATGGTGCCCTAAGTCTGTGAAGGACTCACTCCCCTTCTGTCCTTGTCTCCCTTGGTCTCTCTGTCACTCTCTCTTTCCCTGCTTGTTTCTCTTCCAGTCTCTGGTTCAGCTACAAACCTGTAAGTTGTTGGTTCCAACTCATCCTGCTGTACCATGGAATAAAGGCCTGGCAATCAAATGCCATAAAGATTACAGAAAAGAAAACCCTCTGGCACAGTTGTACTCTGTAACATATGGGGTTGCCATGAGTTCAAATCAGCTGGACAGCAACTGGTTTGGTTTCTTGTCTCTTGTCCGACGTATTCTCTCTGCCTCTCTCTCCCAGTATTCCTCTCTGTCTCTCTGTTCTCTCTGAAGTCTCCCTCCCGGCCTTCTCTATCTCTCCCGCCCTCCACCCTTGTCAGTCTTCCCCTCGGGGAAGCTCAGCGCCCCCTAACCTGCCAAGCTCACTCACCTGTGTGTCCCTGGCTGCCCAAGCTGCCAGCAGTGCAGCTCTCTTGACCGGCTGTCCCTCCAGCACAGCCTCCCAGAATCCTCTCCTGGGCGGCAGACCCCAGGGCCCAGTACAGGGGCCTTATCAGGGTGCGTGGGTGTGGGATCTCATCAGGGGAAACTGGAGACTCTTCCCTCATCCTGCAAATAGCCCGTTTGGCTTGG